TAATAATATTGTGAAATTAGCAATTTGTCCTTGTCTGTAAGCAAGACGAAAACCTGATAACAGTTTCAATTTGTTATTAGAATCATCGTAAGTTACTCATGCAATTTAAATTATCAATATCCAAGTTACCAGCGTATTTAACGTGAACAGCTGGCGAAGAAGCCTAACCTGTAGAGATATGTATGTCATGATCGCCCGTTGGAGTCATTTCTTCGGAAACAGTTGAATTTTCGAGATACGACGAAGCGGTGCTGAAGCCAGACGTTGACGAGCTGAAGGATTCAGAGGATGCTACCGTGGATTGCGACTGACGTCGAATGTTCTGAAAAAAAAACATTTTGGTTTTCAGTTAACCATAATATTTCGTTAGGGTATCACCTCCAGAAATAGGAGTTCAGACCAGTCGGGCAAAGCGGAAATGTTACCTGCTCGTTCATTCGATTGGTAATTTTTCTTGATGAACCACCGACTGCCGACGAGACGTTCCAGGAGAAACGTTTCAGAATACTGGGTGGCAGATTTGCAGGCACTTTCGCTTTCGTAACATCGATTCCATCCGACGTATGGTAGCGTCGTTCAAAGCGGCGTGCGTTACTTTGATTTAATATCTGCAAAAATATTCATTAAAGATTGAGAATCTGGATTTGAAAAATTTCTTAAGGTCTCAAAACAGATATTCTCTAAAAACTTTGCCAGATAAATAAAGCAACCACACACTGAAAAAGCTGTTACGGTCCTCCTGCCATATTCTAGACTTTAAACAGTGAAAGAGAAGGGTCTCGCCCAAGCCATTTCACTACAGCACGAGCTGGTGTAAAAACGCATATTCGCAGAAGCACACTTAGTGCGCTTCGCGAATGATTTTTGAAAAGCTGAGGAGCAAAGAGCTGTTGAAAGCAGCAGTACTGTTAAACAGAAGGTCGAGGAGTTCGAATCCTTCAGTGGGAAAACCATACAATTCGTTCATTCGTTTCGGTGGTAAATTAGTACTGTTATATACCAGGGAGTCAAACTCAACATCGGTAAAATGAATATTTCTCATGTCCTCGTGCAAGGAATTTAGCCCTTCAAACTGTACCTACATTACTCTTGAATATAGAAGATACTTGCATAGAATAGAATTTCAGCCTCATAGCTTGTTCGTTAGGCGAAATAGCCGCTTCGCTACAAATACCTTCGCTACAAGCATTTTTAAATCATGGTGCAAGTGCAAGTCGAAACTCGTTTTAATTATACAATTATCCCCAGGGGGAAGAAAAATATTCTAACAAATTTTCAACCACTGTTTTCCAGTTAAATTCTAAAGTTGGCACAGCGCCAAAAGCGAACTCGGCGTAGGTGTGCGCGATAGCTGAATTTAAAATCTTTAGCTCATATATGGAGAGGAAACATCAACGTGAAATTTCAAGTTTCTAGCCTGTCTGATTCTCGAAATCTAGTTTACGCCACAAAATCCGCATATTTCTTCGGCGTCCGCATGTGAGATCCAGACGTATGTGAGCGATGATTTCAGATTTTAAGGATGACATGCATGCAGACAGTCACCCCTCTCCCTCTTGTTTTCCTAATTGCTGAGTTGAAAGGGCAACAATGCTCACCTGCCCACACACATACACATGCATACACACACACACACACACCCACAAACACACACTGCGAGCCTCTCGACAATATGCATCTTTGCTCACTGTAGCAGCGGTATAGTGCTGCACATCAAAAACGGATAAAACGAGAATAATTGATGAGCGTTTAAGGGCAATGAGATAACAATTGAGTTACCTGCGAAGATGATGATCCGGCGACGGTATCACGATCGTCTGCACAGATAATAATGTTTGATGGCGACGGGCATCGTGCGTCTGGACGTG